GCCTTTCTCCCCTACACTGCCTGGTTCTCCCTCAAGATGAAATGTACCCATCTCTCTCCGACCCAACTGCTCGACTCTCACTTTCCCCCGAAGAACGGTCTTGTGACTTTGTTGGTAAAATGGTTCTTGATCTTGATGTGACGACGTATGGAACAAGTGAGGGTGGGTACATTTGGGACAGGGTGAGAAGGCGACGCAGTCGGTCAGTCTCACCTTGGCCCAGAAAAACTCCCAAAAGTCCCTGTAGTGAAGAGTGTTGAAGTATGTGCTACAGCTGAGGCATTGGTAGAAATTTTTGTAGACATGAAGCCACCCTGAATATGTTCCTTTTTAAATTGTGGGGCAGTTCTTTTTAAAGAGAAACACAAAGAACATTTCTTAACTAATTACATGGTACAAATATACAAGCTGGATGAATAGCACTGAGTTTACATGAAGTAACAGATTCTGAAACAATGAATTGGTAGTTGATTTGAAATCCACATTTAGATGTGTGGTCGAGCTGCTGTTAATGCCAACCATTGTGATTGGTGGTTTGCAGTTCCCATTATCATGTGCAGTTATGGAATATATCGCTACACCTGGGTTGCCTGTATCTATTTCATTCATTTTTATTTTTTGAAAAAAAAAAAACATGTTAATTTGATATATACAAACAAACAAAAAGGTTCTACTGTATTCACAGTGAAAACGATGTCAGTATGTCCTTTGTCCCTTAGTTTGTAATCTATGCACCAACTGGAAAACTGAACTCACGTCACAGTAATTACAAGCACAGAATGAATGTTTGTTTGTGGGGGATAGCAGGTCACTACACTGGCAGAACAGATTTTTCAGCAGATTTACAAACCTCTACATCTCATATATTTTAGGTCTCTACCATTTTGTTCAGTATCAGCTTTGGTTCTTAATCAGTTCTGTCATTTTGTTCAACTAGTCAGAGTGGTAATAATGAGATGATATAACCTCACTCATCTGGAGGCAGTTTCACACCCTTAAACCCAAATAAAATTTCTCTGTGTGCCAAACAATCTGTAATAGCTATTAAATAATGCATTACATAATGGAGTCAGTTATTTTTCATGTGTTGTAGCTTAGTGCTTTTTTTCACAATTATGCCTCACTTTTATATCTTGTTGCCTTTTTATCCTCATAAAGATAAATGTATTCAATGATATATAAACTGTAACTCCACCGTCTCCATCTTGTTCCAGGCCCTGCGCTGCTCATGGCCACTGTCGACATCAAAAACCCCGAGATCAACAGTGGTCAGCGCTACCATAGCAACTCTCAGGTGAACAACATTGTGCATTCCTCCTTTCCCAAGAGGGAGAAGAAGGGCACCAAGGGGAAGAGGAAGAGGTTGACAAAGGCAGACATCGGCACACCAAGCAACTTCCAGTGAGTCACAGGACCCAAGCGTTTGTTTCAAGGAGATGGATAAACCTGATCATCCCCTTATAGAAGTCTTTGAAATTAGTTGTTTGCACATGAACACTTTTATACCATGTCTCCAGTCTTCACCAAATGCAGCACACAACATCTTTGAGTAATCCTGTCAAATTTTGCATTTGCTTTTTGATATGCCGTACCATTTTTGCCTTTTGTGTGATCCTGCAAATTTGAAGACATTCTGTCTATGGGTGATGCTACATTTGCACAATTTATCCTTTCACAAAGCCCATACACGGCCAGAATTAGTATGTTTTGATCTGCTAATCAGATACATATGCAAATTAAACAATTTGTAAATATGTTTTTACTGTGTACCTCTTCAGTTTCCAGCTGTTTTTTTTATTACTAAATCTTGCATCCTCTTTTACGATTGTCACAGGCATATTGGGCATGTAGGATGGGATCCAAACACAGGCTTTGATGTAAGTAGGATTTACACAACTTCATATTAATGTATGCACTTGTTTACGTGTGAGCATCTACAGTTTGAAAACCTGGCCCATAAGTGTTTGTCAGTCAAACATCTCTCTTCAGACAGATTTTTTCAAATTTAATCTAAGCTCCAAAATATTAAGCCAAGCTACAAGGCCAAGTCACCAGGAGAATTACACAAGGACCTTTTAGATAGAGGAGAATAAAGCCACATCTGCATAATCCATGGACTCATTTCCGAAAAGCATCATTAGTAATTATGCTGGATGATGATTATGAGAGTATGCAGATCAGAGGGCTTTCTGTAAATGAAAAAGATGAGATTCCAATGATTTGGCTTTCAAGGACTTGGATTGATTTGAATGGGTGATGTCATTTGGACAAAGCTTGCCCACCTTTCAACTCCTCAGGCTTAGAGCTGAGGCACAAACGATCAGGAGATGTGTTTTATAATCTTAGCAGCTATATTTGGCTCTGCTTTTTTCTATTCTTATACTGTTTCTAAAATAAGTGCTCTATCTACAGTGAAAGTAAAGTAGCTCAAATTAGTCCCACCCTTGAAGAGAACTCCTTTTAAAATCTAGCTTTTGATGATTAAATTCTTCTAGTTTTCTTCACACAGCACAACAGCTGTGGTCAGCTTGATTCAGCTGACAGTATGAAGTCTGAACATCAAGATCACTTCACCTGTTAGGGGCAATAGTTTGATAAACATTATATTACTGGTGCACCGTCACACAGCTAACCTAGAAACGGTAACCTAAGGAGTATATTATTTATAGCTTTAGCTTGTCTCTGCATCATCTCTGCTGGAAATAAAATGCAATGTGAAAAAATACTATATTAAAGGGAACCCTTATAAGAAATAATGCCAAAAACCATCATCAGACGTGTTATAACTTGTATTCAAACCTCGGTTAACAAGAACTATCTTCTTCTTTTGTCCCAGCATTATAGTGTTACCACACGCCACCAGGTGGCAGCATACTGGCTGACATTGTGTCTGTTTTGTGCTAAAGTGTCCTCACAAAGAACAGTGTAATGCTACAAATGATTAAAAAAACACTTTCCCAAATGAACCATTGTGGATGAGCAGATTTCTAAAAGCCATTGTCAAACTGGGTAATCCTGCTTTTTCAAATGTCCCTCTAATCCTAACTGAAGTAAACTCAACTTTTAACTGTCAGTCATATAATGTGTTCCTGAGCCACAAAGCTTATAAATCCATACTAAAGCTACTAAAATCATTTACAAGGGAGGTCACTGTTCCAGCCAGACAGTTTAGTCACTGTGGTAGGGAACCCATACTGATACAGTGTCAGTTAATGAATATGCTGCCATTTAAAATCAGAATTAAGATATGTTGATACAAATTTGAGCTGTTGTGCCTGAAGATAAACCAGTTGTATTTGCCTTATTTTGTGACATTCATGCCCACTGTTGCTGTTTACTTATTGGGGAAAAGCATCAGTATCCCCAGTAGTGGAACATGGTGACTTGTTGTCTTCTGTGTTCTCTTTCCAGTTGAATAACTTGGACCCAGAGCTGAAGAACCTGTTTGATATGTGTGGCATTTCTGAGGCTCAGCTGAAGGACAAGGAGACCTCTAAGGTCATCTATGACTTCATTGAGGGGAACGGAGGAGTAGAGGCTGTCAAAAATGAGCTACGGAGACAAGGTATGGCAGACACGCAGGGTAGAATACAGATTATCTTCTGTTCTAAAACAGTCTTGTTTGCTGATACAGTAGTGGCAGGGATTTGGGGATTTCACAGATCATTTTCTTTGAACAAAAAATTTGAATTGAAAAGGGAAAATAAAGAAAGAGAAGATCCCACCGTTTATCTTAGAACAGGTGCAGCTCCACAACAAACATTACTATACAGGTTTCAGTGTTTTGATATCGTAATGCAAACAGACTGTACTGTGAAGTATCAGTTGTGTACGTGTGTTTGCAGAACACTGGTCATGTGAAATGCATTTTAAAGGGCTGACTAATAAATTGAAACAGTCTAACTGGTGTCGTGGTCTTATCCCCAGGTCCGCCCAGGTGGAGTGGTAGGTTTCTATGCATGACCTGCTGTGACAGCTCATGACTGTGCATGTAGAATCATAATTTGAATTGTGTGAAGTCTTTGCAGTTACTTCTGTGCTTCAGCATTTGCTGTTTTACACGATTGTATTTCAACTGGATGCGCTATCATTATGTGACTCTGAACTATTATAACTACAGCTGCTTCGTCATGAAATTACATCATACAATGATAAATTCTTGAATACAGTTTTGCTGTGAAACATTTGTCTAACCCTTACATGAAGCTGATCCACTCTTGTAAACACTACTTCTGGTTTGCTATATTATAAACACTTTGCATGGGAAGTGACACCGATAAACAGCAGTTTGTCTTAAGAGTACTTGGTCCAAACAATCTTTCAAGATTTAATAAGCGGAATCAAACAGCATGTTTCTAAATTAATCCCTGGCTCTGACAAATTTGGAATTGATTTTGAGATCCAGTTTCAACTTGGTCATGTTTCAATTCATTCTGAGAAAAAGGTTGTTGACTAATAAAATTCATGACGGTTTTCTTCAACAAAATTAACACTAGTTATATGGCAGAAGGCTGCCCCCTGTAGCTTAATTTTATAACTGCATGGCTTCATAAAGCGAAAAATGGGAATTTGACAAGCATTTTGAACAGATATGCTGTGGAATTCTTTATCATCCATATCTTCCAAGCTGTCCTTCATGAAACTAATTTCAGTGAAATGAAGTCTGGATGTTCTTCGAGGCTGACTTCAAGGTGATTACAAGTTTCTCCTCTAAATTAAAATTTTTGTTGTTCTCTCTCTCTCTCTCTCTCTGTCTTCAGCTCCTCCACCCCCTCCATCCAGAGGGGGCCATCCTCTCGCACCCTCACACCACAGCTCAGCCCCTCCTCCCCCTCCTCCTTCCCGAGGGCGAGGTGCCCCACCACCTCCTCCCCCCTCCAGAGCTCCCTCCTCT